TGCCGTGATTATGACTGTGAGATTTAAAAATTCTGAATATGTGATATTTTAGCCCCACTCCACCAAAAGGTAAAAAACATAAGAAATTAAACAATTTATTTCGGTGTATAGCAAAAGCAAACCACATGAATCCTGGGAGAATTAAGTATATGCCTAACTTGCATATAGTTTGTTGCAGTTGTTTGTGCCAATACATATTTGAGTAATAGTAGTAGAATTAGTTCTAGCCTAATTATCAGCAATGTGAATTTAAAAATATTTTTCAGGTAATAAACTCACTCATTTTGTTCACAAGTAAGTCAACCAACGCAACATCCTTTAAGGTTAACATTGAATGAAGAGTAACATATTCTGTTTCTGCATATGCATATTCAGTTACCCTAGCATGAAAATTAGTTGCTTGGGTACCAAAGAGTTTTGGAAATATAAACACAATCAGAAATAGTGCCCCCTTTGTGTAAGTCATCTAAAATGAGGCTTTCTTACTGGTTATCCTATTAAAAGGTCAAGAAGACTGTGAATCTATAAATAGATTGATCTCCTGATTACCTACAGGGAGGGTGAAACTCTAAGCATCTTAGCTTCTGCATTTGGAAGTAACTGATTAGACCCTGAATCCCTGCAACAAGGCAGCTTCATAGATATTCCTTTCTAGTATCTTAAATTGGCTCTTTAACGATATTTAAGGATACAGTACCAATATGTTCCAACACCTTAAACTAGTTGTTATAAAAGAATACAAGAGGAAAAAGCAGTGCTGAGGTCAAGTAGGTATAATATAAAATGCAGACACTGTCTACACATCTTCAAAGTAACAATCAACTGCAAATTTTAAGCCCCAAGAGTTAAGTCACTTGGCCCCAGAAACCCTCTTCTCCAGAAACCTGCATTCTATATAGCTCACAATACATTTTTTATTTACCCCAAATGCTGGCCTGTCATAGTCTAAACATTTGGAGTGAGAGATTACTGTGTGAGAATGCCATTTTTCAATCTTAAACTTAAACTAACCTTTATATTTACAAGATCAGGACCTGGAATGCTAAATCTGCATAAGCTAAAGGGCTACTCAAGAGAGAATGTAATGCTGCCAAGAGCTTGACTTCTTTATTCCATTATGATCTGCTTACTGAGTCTAAAAGGTACACGCTTCATTAAGCTACTTAAAGGTTTTAGTTCAAAGCAATTGCACAGCTTTTAACTTCCCATTGGAAACTGCATGAAACTCATGAGCTGGGTAAAGTAATATTTCAATTACCTGAGTTAAATGAAAACATAAGAAATTAAGATATAACCATCTGACACTAATAATTCTACTGATGATTATTTTGGTGACAATATATAATGAGAAACTGAATACCACATTTGCCTCTGTCTTCTAGTATAGCTGGGAAAGTTAAAAAAATTGACAGGGAAATGTTTATATTCACCAGTATATTGAAATATTAAATATAAAGGCTTTGATAAATATTGAAACTTAAAGAAATTGTAAGTTGTTAAGTCTTAACAATTTTATTTGAAATTAAGTGAGGAGTACATATGAATACACTACAATAAAATAATTTTGTTGTCTTGATAAGTAGCTTGGACACTTGATATTTCTTTGAGACCCTAACATAGGGTATCCTAAAAAATGTATACACACAATTTGAATAATTATAAAGGCAGTGTTTATTAAAAATACTTTTCATTTCTTTTTTTTATTTTCAAAATTGAGCTATCAGCTGTTAAAATGTGTATACATTTTTGGGGGGGCACCTTGTATTTGATAAATAGCAGCTACATAAATAAGAAAAAATATCTTTTTACATTCTTTTAATAATGACTAATGACAGAGAGTAGGAAATAAAAAGCTTTGTGTAAATAACTGTTGTCCATTAACAGTTCATTCCAAACTCATAATCAAAATGTCCATCTTCAGTTATGTATATGTGACTATGCAAAATTGAATTAGGAAGTAGTGCTTGGTGAATTTGTCCTTTTGTTTCCACGGAAACGGTTGCTGGATCGTTTCTCTTTAAGACTGGTTTTAAAGTAGAAAACTACTGTATGTTAATTTATCTTTGGATTTTTTTAATTTGTTCGGTTTTTGAAACAGTAGTTCATAGCATGCCTATATGCCTCATGTAGGGCACCTTTTATTTCTACTGAGTTTCTTGATTCTCTCTTGCCATCCCCCCACCCAGCAGAATGGCTTAAAAATAAAGGTCTTTCCTTATTTGACTTTGCATCTTTAGCATATAATATAGGTTCCGGCTCAAGCCCTCATTTAATAAAAGCATTTTAAATAAATAAAATGTAATATATAATCTATTGTGTCCTTCCAGTTATAAGAAAATGTGAGCTTAAGTGTCAGACTAAATTCATGTGTGTGAATCCCGACTTCAATAGTTACCTAGTTCTATGACCCATGTATAAATTTTCTATATGTCAGTTTACATATTAAATGGGAGATGATAACAAAACCCAAGTCATGTAGTTGTGATTTTTAAATGATATAACTGAATAAAGCTTCTAGAATAATGTCTGACATAGTAAGAAATTAATAAATGGTATCAATCATAATTACAATAACTATATTAATGCTGCTGCTACTTCTTGGCAGGCACGGTGCTAGATGCTCTCTGTCTTCGGCCTTCACTCCAACCCTGTGTGATTCTCGTCACGCTGCTGACAGGTACCACAGAGGACAGCCAGTGCCACTCAAACTGTAAACTGCGAGGTCAGATTGCAAACCTTCCTCTGGTTGATTCCAAGGCCTGGGATTTTTTTCACCACGACACACTGCCTCTTCTGGATAGTTTCAAACATCCAGAAAGGTACGGTATCTCTCTTTAAAAGCTTTTCAAACTATTTCTATAAATTAAAGTATGGCCACCTGATCCATTACAGAAGATAGCTAATTCAAAACCAGTAGGTTGTACAAAGAAATTTGCACACACTATATTTTTACATTTTCTGGAAGTCAGTGAATTACGTTTCCTTGATGAAGTGCAGGAAAGCATAAAATTGAATTTTTAACATAGAAGTAAACATCGAGGTTCCATTTCAGAGCCCCAAGTCTTTCTCAGGAGTCACCTGGGCGGCCCCAGAGAATTTCCAAAAAGTTCTCTTTACTCACATCTGTCATGTCATATGCCCTGGTCACATCTCTTTTTAGAAAAAGTAATCAGTGTTTACTCCTCAGCTGGGTCCACTGACTACCATGGGAGAAATACTCTACCACAAGAATTAAAAAGTTCACTTTTTCTAAGGGAAGAAGCAGGCTCATGATTGTTCAAACAAACTTTTCAGTAATGAAATGAGATTAGCTATTTTATTGGGGATCTCCAGTAGAGCTAGTTTCTATTAACTAGCATGCAAACACTGTTTGAGTTTCCAAGGCACTCTCACATACTTCATGTAGTAAATATAAATCCCCTTAACATCGGTGCTCACTTGGGATATTACATATTTGACAACAATGGCAACAATAGCCCCACCCCTGCATAAAAGCAAACAAAAAAGTGAATAAAACTCTGAGGCACAAGACTAATAAATGACTAAAGTCACACCCAGAAAGTGGTGCATTCAGTGTTACTACATATGAATCTTTGCACTATGTTATTTAGATCAAGGTTAAGTATCTGTAAACTGAAGGATTCTATGGAGAGATTATATATTTACATGGCTAACATGGGAGTGGCGATTTGTCAAATAGTGCATGGATATGGCACAGAAAAACAGCTTTTCATAACAATTAAGCTAGGGGTCCATTCAGTTTGTATCTTCTTTTTCTTTAATTATTTTCAAGTTAATCATAAGTAAATTATGTGTATATATTAAAGTTAAAGAATGGATAAAGTTACAGGTTGTGTTTGTTTTTTTTTTGGCAAGTGGACCAAAAATGTATTAGCTCAAATTCTATAAATTTTCAGATTCTTAATATTATGACCTATAAAAACGGCAATTTCAACTGAAGAACAAAATTAATAATTATTTTCCAAATGCATTATATGATTACTATTGAAATGCTTTAGTTACCGTCATTATTAAATTAGTTTTAATTCCCAAATCTAATCCCCATTAAGGTGGACATTACCAATAAGGACGATATAATTCATAAAGGAATAATTCTTATTTTGAGCAATTGACCATATATTATGAATATGTGTTTGTATAGTAATGATGAAGCCAACTGTGTATTTGTATAGATAACATATATTTTGAAAAAGAAGTGTTCTCAGTGGGTCCACAAAGTCAATATGAATTTAATAATAATACTAAGACATTACCTGCTGTTTTCACTCTCACTTCTCATGAATGTAGAAGGCTTCTTCCAGAGACTACACGGTGTGTGCTATTATAGCAGATTGAATATCTTAACAGAGATTAAGGATATAGCTACCTTCTTTTAGGCCAGACACTAATGTAACTTATAAAATAATATATGATGTTAATCTTACCATTTGATTTTGCTTTGGAAAATATATTACTTTTCAAAAACCTTACTTATATTAACATGTAATGAATTATTACATTATTTTAGTGAATAAATAAATAGGTCTTATGGTTATCAGTTTAAGTTTCAATATAGTAAATATTAATAGTTATAACCCATATAAACAAAAGATCTTTGGGGTTGACAATGAATTTTCAGAGTGTAAGGTCCACTTGAAACCTATATAATCTTTATTACCCAATATCCACACAATAAATTTAATTTAAAAATTAAATAAATTTTAAAAAAGTATAAGGTCCATAGGACCAAAAAGTTTTGGAGCTACTGGTAAAGAAACGAGAAAATATTCTTTATTCAGTCTAAACTTATCCCCACACTTTTACAAATCCCAATGATAAAGATCTTTATGGTCCTTGTAAAATATAAGAAGTCATTTTAAATAGATCTATTTAAATACCCTTAAAGCATTTCATTCATAACATAAAAAACATTGAGCTCCTTAGAAATTGCTCCATTTTCAAAATATATTTATAACTTAACCAAAATAAATATTTCATACCTCACCAAGTGAGTAATAACGTCTTGGGATCTGGGAGTCCGGATAGATGTTTTCAAGGTACCAAGAAAAGGGCTTACACTTCAGATTTTCTCTTAGTGTTTTTCTGACTGACACATCTCCATAATCCACTTTGACAACACCTGGAATTTTTCAGAGAAACACAAATCAGTTTGTGCTATTTTGGCTTCAACACTATTTCACTCTGTTTAATTTGTGATCAGCTTTTTCTCTATAATTATAATTCCATCAAATTCAATTGCATATGCAGCTGCTACTACACTGATTTTCTTACCAACATCCAATTAGTGCATTAAATTGACATAAAAAACAGTTTCCCCATTGGTTATGACTTTTCAAATGCAAATATTTATCATCAAGTACTTGTATGTCTTAGATTGAATAATTAATCAAGTAAGTGTAAATTGCTATTAATTTAGCATCTTAAAATCAAAGCTTAACTGAACTGTGTGATAATGTGGCTGTTTCTCTTTAATAAAAGTTCCAATGGCTCCAATGCCTCTGTGAATGCTTGTAATTTTGCTACAGTGTCATTTATTCACCACCTGCAGATTTCATAAGAAATTTACTACATAAATACGATGTTCAACAATGTACGGCACTCACATGGTTCTAACTTTCCCTTCTGCTTCTTGAACTTTTATTCTATCTAGGCTTATCACAGGCCTGGTTTTTTCTTTATTGATTTTTTCTTGTTTTATTTTATGAGTTAATATAAGCCACTTGAAATCCTTGGATACGTTAGTAAATAAATAAGCATAAAGAAACTAACAAATGGGTATGCTCACAGGTGTATATTAAAATTGCTTAGCTTTACTTCCTATCATAATAGAATATATAAAATTAAAATGAATATTCCTATTGAAGATCATATGAGAATGCTTTCTAACTGAGAAATAAACACCAATAATGTCACTGATTTTTATATAAAAATATGGTAACCTGATTTGCTCATTGTCAATATTAAAAATGACATTTGACCAAAATGACTAAATCATTGTGATAAGTTTGAAATTATTTCCAAGATTATTTTGAAAGGTTCCTATTTAACAGGTTTTTTTAAGACCAGTAAGCAAGGAGACTTTAGTGCAGAATAAATGGCCCAAGGTTCTCCAGTGACTAGCACAAATATCTATCCATTTGCTCAGGGCAAAACATACGAGTAATTCTCTTTATCACACACACATATTCATATTCAATTTATTAGCAATTTCCATTGGCTGTGCATTCACAATCTATCACCAGTGCCATCATCTCCTCTACCACAACCCCTCGGCCATCCTGGTCCCACCCTCTCTCATCTAGTTAGTATTGTAATAGCCTCCTAACTAGCCCCCCAGACATCTTAAATTTCTCCATCTATCCCTTACCCATCATTGTCTGCTCCTTAGACAATATATTGTAAATATAAATAAAATCATGTCTATCCCCTGCTCTAAAGCTTCAAATGATTTTCTATTGTGCTAAGAATAATTAACAATATCATAGCCATTGTTTAATATCCTTCATGAACTGACTCTTCATGGCTGTCTCTCTGCATCAGTCATCTCTAGTCACTTCATCATAGCCCCGTTGACTTTAGTTACTGCTGTTATTTTTAATTTGCTATTCTTCTGACATGCCAAGGTCATTCCCAGTTCATGGCTTTGTTCTACCCTGGAACTACAAGAGCTGTCCTTCACTTCATACAACTCTCTGCTCAAAGTGTACGTCCTAAGATTCACTCTGGCCTTCCTATCTAAACTGACCCCTCCATCCCATCGTCCTGAGTCAGTATCTATTCCTCTATACTGTTTAATTGTTCTCCAGGACACTTATTACTACTTGATATTATATTATAAATTAATCTGCTCATTGCCTCACACCAAAAACTTTGAAAAAATTATTTAATCTCTTGAAGCCTTAGGTATCTTATGAGATGTTGTGAATACTAAATAATGTCTGAAAAAGGCATAATGCAGTGCCTGGTAAATAATAATTGCTGAATATGTATCATATATTGTACTGGATATCAGTTGTTTTGCATGCCCAATGTCCATTCTGCCTTCTGCTAAAGAGCATGGAAGTTTTCTTTGGGCAACCATCCCTCCCTCATAATCAGTTTGGTGGTTTGGTGACTCCATTCCCCTGCCCACCTTTCCAGCTCCAACTGGGGGCACAGGTTAAAGGCATATCACCAGGGAATCTTGTTAAAATGCAGATTCTGATTTTGTTGGTTTGAAGTGAGGCCTAAGTGTCTGCTTATCTAACAGATCCCAAGAGATGCTGCTGTTGCTCAGGCCAAGTTCTGACAATCAGAGCATTCCATTTTCCAACCTTACACCCAATCCATCATCATGATCTGCTCAGGAATGGGTATATGAACAAGCCAGCCTAATAAACATGTACTGAGAATTTGCTAGTTGAAGCTGACACTCTATTTCCTTTGGAATTGCTCGCTACAGATGATTGAAGCCTGGAGCTTCTGGGGCTACCATATAGAGAATTCCTATGACAGTGATGCCAACACAGGAGTAAAATAAACAGTTGGAGAGAAAGAGAAAGAGAAAAAGAAAAAGAGGAGGCCCAGCCAAGATTAAGTCAACAGATGCTTATTTATTTTATTCCAACTACATACAAGGTGCATTTTCTAGGCACTTGGGATCCATCAGTGAACAAAACAAATAAAAGTATCTTCTTCTATGGAGTTTACATTCTAGTGGAGGAAGACAAATAAACAGTGACACATTAAAAGGTAATGCACTCTATGACAAAAATAGACTAGGGTGAGGCAGGAAGGTTGCAATACAAGAATTGGATGCATTTTTTAACATATTTTTTTCAAAGGCAACTTAAAGAATTGCAAATTTTTAAGGTAAATCTTTCAATGGGATTTGCATAAACCTGAAAAGGCTCTGACAGTAAGATAAAGATGCATTATGAATTAGTGGAAAAATAGCATTTTAATTAACTACGGGTGTGCAGGCTTGATTACGAGTCAAATAACACTTATTCATTGTTTTGCTTTGTTAAATAACCTGTTTTTCATTCACCATTTTAAAATCTACTACATGGTAGTATTAAATTTATATATGTAGGATACCAAGTTTTAAATTTTTAAACAGACTGAAGATCATAAGGATCTCAGTTAAGTTCTTCCGTAGTAGATGCCTAATAAGCCTAACAGTTCTGGTTCCCCTATAATCAAGGTACCTGATAACAGAATAGCCTGATAATAGCATAAAGCTTAGAGTGTTATGCATAAGAATATGTGTTGCGGTAAGCTTAAAGAAAAGGGGACATGATATTCCTTTAATAAGGGATACTTAATTAAATCAATGGTATATTTATCCAATTGACAAAATAGAATTCATATATTGAAACAATATATGAATTGTCTTATTATATCTGTATAAGAATATGAAAAATGTTAATTAAAATATAAAACAATTTTATTATACTCTTATTATAACAAAGTAAAATGAAATTATATGACACAACAATAAAAAAAGAAAGTAAAAAACAGCACATCCCTTTTGCTAACTAAAAAAACAAAGAGCAAGAACTTAATATATCTATTTTTCTTTAAGCACAACAATGAAAACTATGCAGCTAGTCATAAAGTTTTTTATACACAAATATATCATATTAACAAAACAGTTGCATATTTCAGTAGACCAGTCAGTACACAGTTTCAACTAAGAATTTTTTTGTGTGGTATTTTCAAAATTCCTTATAACAGAAAATATATCTCTTTAGTTTGTTATTTACTTTGAATACTTGTCATCAGGGCGTTTATGAATAAGGATCTGCATTCCTTTCTCCTCAAAAGTAATAACAATAAAAAGAGAAATCATTTTTGAGCCAACTAGAGATTACTGTGTTGTAGAGCACACAAACACTAGATTGTATCAGAGGCTTAGCAAATTACTTGGAACACTTTTTTTATTATTCAGAACTACTCCTCCTTTAATTCACCATGTAAATTTTTACCCATTCTTCATATGCATAAAAATTACCCAGACTCGTAACCTCTCACTAAGAAATCACTGGATAAAACTACATTAACAGGCTGATGGCCCATGCCAGCTAATAATACATAGTGATTATCTGTTGAATTTAGCACTTACTATTAGGACTGTAATTTTATGTTAATGGAATAAAAATGTGATAATGAATTGTACAAAGATCGTAGCTATGTCACACAGAAGAAGCAAAGATCAGACAACTTCTAAATTTATTTAAGTCTGTCTGGTCTCCATAGGCAAGTGTTGGCAGGTCTTGAGGCTAAATTTTCCAAATGCCTCAAACTTCGGTTCAATTTGACAACGAAAATCATATTGAACTACTTGGTCTCAGGTGAACAAAAACATGGGAAAGAAGAAAAGTGAACTTTTGCAATTACCTTTTAAAATAAACATCAATTTGATATCAGTTGAAGCAAATAAACTATAAAATCCATAATCTCTAGGGGGAAAAAAATCTGAGTGAAGAACCTTCAAGGCAGTATTTACCACACTTCAGAAGCTACAGCAGTCACAGAATATGTCACCTGCTCCCCAACTTACACATTTTATAGAAAATACAAAAGAGGTATTGAGCCAATGAAACCACCACTGATCTACCTTGTGCATCTTTTTTTGTTTTGTTTTTTATTCCCCAGTAGTAAAAAAATTTATATATAATTTATATGTTTATCTTTTAAAAACTTTTTACAGTTATTTGAGAATTATGTACTCATTGCAGATAATTCTAAAACAGATAAATATGACAAGTAATATAAAAGTCATCTGTGCCTTGGCCAGGTAGCTCAGTTGGTTAGAGTCTTGTCCCAATACGCCAAGGTTGCGAGTTTAAGCCCCCATTATGGCATATACAAGAAGCAGCCAATGAATGCAAAAATAAGTGGAACAACAAATCTGTTTCTCTCTCTCTCTCTAAAAATCAATAAATTTAAAAAGTCATCTATAATACAGCTATATTTACATGATGGTAGGTTTCTATTCATATATAATTATATAGATACAACTTTCCTTGCAAAGATTTGTTTATACTGTAATATGCACTAGTAACTTGTTTTATTCCTAAAACAGTATGCCATGAACACTTTTGTAACTTGGTTTCTAAGCCTCCCTGTCATTGA